AATTTATATAACATTGCAACTATAAAATGTAGAAGTAAAGATGCACCTCAAAACTACATCGGAAATTGTTGTTTTAATGTTGAAAAACCATCTAATTGATCATCTCGACATCGAGATGTATGAATATGAAAAAAAAAAGATTTTGAGTCTCTGAAATAATGCATCTTTCAACACATTATCTAGACCGTCCATTTTCAAGATTTTCATATGTATATAAATCTACCTGATTTTTACCATTTTTGGAGTTTAAAATTTTATAATTAGATATGAAAGTATATTTTTAGATAATCCTATGAGTTTTTTATACCAAACTTACATGGTATGAAAAAATTGAAAGGTGCGCGTTAATTGGATTGTTTAAGGTTGCAACCTTATAGAAACCACACCACATATATATATATATATAAGAAGAGATTATGCAACGCCTATAGGTCATGCTAGGTCCATGACGGTAAAAAATTCATGTGAAAGCATCACAGACATTGCGGCGTTCGTTGTGGGTTTGTTCAATAAACCGCCACAGACAGCAAGTCCGTGGTGGGGCGAAACACTATTCATTTTTTCGCCTATAGCCATTATTTTCTCCAAGTCGAATTGAGTTGAAATTTTAGGCTTATCTACTTGACACTATCAAACACCAGAGAAAAAAAATAAAAATAAAAAAAATCCAACGGTATTTTGATTATCTTATGATTTGGGAAGTATCTATTTTATATTTTCTTTGTGCAGCCTAATATACATCACAGACACACAAAATTTAGCTTAATCTCACTGTCCAATCAAGATCAGACGGCTGCCAACATACATGAGTTTACTATTTATTTTAGGCAACAACCTATTGGTAGGTTTGTGTGTGTGGGTCATAAAAGATTTGACCAGTATAGGATTACCACCCCCACCTCCACTACGACCATCATTACCATGACTTCCATTGCTAGCTACCCCACCAACTCCACTACTATGGTGGTGCTGCAAGCTGGATGGTGGTGGAAGGGTGGTTGGGTGGAGTGGGAGGTGATTGTGGTGGTGAGATAGACATAGTTGTAACAAAGTGGTTGTCAGATATCCAATATGGATAGTCAGTTCTAATAGACGCTGAAGAGAGGGGCTAAGAACACCATTGATCGTGTCGATATATTGCACAAAGATTTTATAAGCAAATGGGCTTTTTCTATAACCGAGCTCCAAAACACATAGTTTGAGGAATTTGTTTGGGCCACACATTTGTTTTGAAAATAATAAACAATTAAAAAATATATTTTGAGTTCTTGAAAACCTAGATGCACTGTTCAATAAATGGAGGGCCTGCTTCGCCAAAAATGGCATACTCAATTCCCCTTTTTTTTTTTGTTCAAATTCTTTTCTATCCATCTCCTAGATGAGATCTACATGTGTGCAAAATTTGAGGTCCAATGGACCCATACTTTACAAAGTGGCTTATGCTATATAGTATGTGCCCATTGGCTTATCCAATCTCTTTCCATTATAAAAATATAATTCATTATAGGAAAATGGAATTAGATAATTCGTTAGTATGAGAAAAGATTAAATAAGTCAACGGGTTTATACAGCAAGCCACGTTATAAAGTACGGTTCTATTGAACTCAAAATTTGCACATATGTTGATCTCATCTAAGCAATTAAAAAATAATATAATGAATTCTCACAAAGAAAAGGGTGAAAATGATTGAAGGGAAGCTGTCCATTTGGTGAAAGCGGATGCGGGCGTGCAAGAGCTCAAAATCATTATTTTTAAATTGTGTATTTTTCAAATCAAAGGCGTCAAAAAATTCAGACCAAACCGGTACCTCTCCCTATGTATTTTGGGGCTCCGCTTATAATATCGCTACATGCCGATACAAAATTTTTCAACGTGATTATTTGTTACAAACCTTCTAGATCTCTTCAGCTGGCATGGCTGCAGTCATTTTCCTTGACTTTTCTTTTTGCATTGCTTCTGTTGACATGTCTTTCATTACATCTATGATTGTCAAATTAAATGTTTGTTATCATGTGTTTACTGCTGGGTTTTGTCTGGTTCAACATTATTATGATATATACATGAAATGCTTTTCCTGCGGCTTCTTGGCTTGGGGCATATCCTAATTTTTATTTGGGGTACTCAACCTATTTCTTGTATCACTATGTGAATCTTCTAACTCCCTGGTGGTCTGATTCATCATCCTTTATGCTTCATGATATTTTTCTTTATCAATGGGTTAGCAGGGATTGTCTACAATCTCTCTTCTAGCATATTATGAAAAATTCACCTCTTTTGGGTTTATGCGTCTTGTTGTTGGATGAAAATATTAGGGCATAATGGGAAGTTGTAGTTATATGCCCCCCATGCTATTTTTTATGTGGACCAAAGTTCCAATACATTTATATGTTTATGGTACCAAGTAATCTTAAGCATCATGATGCCTTATGTAAGTGGTTGTAGTTTTAGGCTGTCTATGTTTTTGTACCCCTTATGTATTGCATTTCAATCAAGTTTTGCGTATTTATTTGATATATTTTCTACCTTGTAGGCTGGTAAATTCAATTAATCTTTTTTTACTTTCTGGTGATCTCATGTTTGGAAATTAAATTCTTGATTGCATTATGCCTGAAATCTGACTTTTTGGTGGCAAATCTTGGTGTAGTTGATACTTCAGCTTGAACCATACATTGAAGAACTCAAAAAGACAAATGGTGCAATCGAAGAGTTTGTTAATCCCAAGTAATGTTTCCAGATATAAATTGTAAATCTCTCTTTATTATGTAGTGCATGCAGTTCACTTTGGTGCATTTTGTTGTACTTATTATTGTTGCTTTCAACTTGACTGTTGAAGGTTCGATGTTGTATTTTTGTGTACGACTTTTTTCCTTCTCCAATCCTCTGAGCTTGTCCTTTCTAACAATCATCTCTGTAATTATTTTTCGACTAAATGAGTTGCAGATACAAAGATTCTAGCAAGACAGCATTTAAATCATCTACACGATTGGAGTGTATGATGCAGGATTATCCAAAGTCGCTAGATCCATCAGCTAGGGTTGGATTTACTGTAAGTACAAATCTAAGAATTTCTTTTCTTTTTTGGTTGTTTGTTTTCAGCAGTCTCACTCTTTACAAATTGTATTCTAGAATATGCAGGAAGGAGATTTTTTAAGTTTGAAGTTGTATGGAGAGATCTTTCTCGCAAAGATCTTATGTCAGTATATAACGTGCTAGTTTTCTTTGTTAGGGTTTTTTCGGAGAGAAAAATTATTATATTGTGTACTTGTGGTATTAACTAAGGGAACTCTACATGCTTAGATAAAAACTGATATTGAATACCATGCACGCTGCATAACTTTTGAGAGATGTCATCACTACGAAGAGACTTAGAGGTGTGCTGCTGCATTGGTTTTTCTACAAGGGAAATTGTTGAAACCAATATGCACACCTGGCTTTTTAGAAGACTTATCAAAGTAATCTACCAAAATCTTCTGCAAAAACTACACAATAAGAAATTAATTGGAAGGCATCCGAGCTAAACGTCAAACACTGGGTGATTAAACTCAACAGGCATAGGAGCAACTTGCTATTGTTTATAACAGGGGATTTGGGTGCTTCCATTTTTTATAGCCTTTACTGAGATGATGATACTTATCCTTACCAAAATGGGGTAGTACTTTCTGATTTAAAAGTTCAACTACCATTCAAATATTAGGATTTTTTAATTTTGATGCATATGTCCTTCAGCATCTTTTCTTTTGATTGGTTACTATATTTCATTTAAACAGAATACCGTACAATCCACTAGTGAAATTATTGAAGGAACCAGAAGGATAGGTGTCAAGGAGAAAACTTAAGAAGAAACTAAGATTTTAAGGAGCTGGCAACCTGATTGATTTCTCATAGAACATGAATGCAGGTAATAAAATGCCTTAAGGGCACATTCCGTACACGTAAAAATATTTTCATGAAAGTATTTTCACATGAAAGAACTCCCTTTTTTCATAACAATTGGTCCCAGGGCATTTTTTTCACACCAATTGGCTGCCAATTGGTGTGAGAAAACTCTCACACCTAATATGGGCGACTTCTTTCATGTGAACATAGCCCTAAGAATCTTGAAAATCTCTCTAAATCCAATGGAGGTAGCCTACATTGCAACTCAAGCCTTTGGTAACCAAAGGCTTGACAATTGTATTCCAATCCTGAACCAAAACGTCAAGCACTTCTAAGATTAGAAGTAGTGACCAAAGACATAAAATAATATACTTGATCATTCTAGATCATCTGAATTATAAAGCTCCCTTTGTTGCTCAACCTTAGTCAATCACCACTCTCTTCTTGAGCTCATTTACAACCACTGATTTCGCAATGATAAAAACTAACACTAAATCCACAGCAAACTGGATGATGAATAGTAATTTGTCGCTCTCCAAGGAATTAAAGCAAGAAAACCTCTGGAAATTTTTTCCCAGAGATAGAGCAAAAATTAATTAGATGAAGGGCACTACCATTATCCAAAATAACTTTGTCTTTACCATGATAAAAGAAAATTTTATTTGAAAATCCCTAGAATGTGATGAGAGGTGGAAGGAACCCACTTAAGAGTACCAGACTTAGAAAGAAAAACAATACCATGTGGTGTTAGAAGAAATGTAATAGAGAGTTCAACCTTGTAACATGCCAAAGTGTGATGGATCACAAAATGGCTGAAAAGGTTCTAATGCTGTAAACATTAACATTTTTAAAAAAAAAGAAAAAAGAAAGAAAGAAAAGGTTCTAATGCTGTAATGTGAGTTGGCAGAGTCTATAAAAAGACCAAGGGTTGGGCAAGGTGATGATCCGAGGATGAAACTGAAAGCTATTTTTTTGTGGCCTGTGCTTTGATCATGGCCAAGTCACATCACTCTTGATAACCATTACAAATACGAACTGGAAGTTCCTTAGAAGATGGCACATAAACTCATACTGGTTTCTTGTCTATCAATGTTCCACAAGAAAATAAAAAAGGGAATGGGTAATTGAAGCTTGGAAACGAAGTATCTTACATTCATCCCACGTCGAGAAAGCACCTAGGGGACCATCCCCAAAACAAGGGAGTACATAAAGAACCTTGTTGATATAAAGTAACTGTTATATGTTGTTAGACCAATGAACTCAACCATTAACTTAATGAAGATGATTGGGTATAGGAAGAAAGCCTTTCTTGCACTTCTTTAGTCCAATAGAAGTTGCATAGTGTGTGCTTGGAATGCATAGCATCTGGTGCGACCTGTGGCTTTCAAAAAGTCTAATTTTAAAGCTATGTGCTTTGGCCACTACAAAGAGTTGAACCAGAGTAACTACACAAGGAAAAAATCTGTTCATTAGTGGCCTGCGATGAGAGTCATACTACCAAGTGTCTTTAAAGATTTTTATTGTAGATGATAGGAAGGATTTAGCATGCAGATATGAAAGAATTGTCAAGCTAGATTTGAATGTGGGTTGAGGAAATGAGAAATAGATAGAAGATAAGAAGCGAACGGAGAATTCAATGAAAACAGAGGATGACTAATGCAGAAAGGAAAGGTGGGAAACTATTCAACTTTAAAAGATGTATCATTTGATTTTAGTTTTAGGGTTAATTTTTAGGATTTTTAAGTTTTTTTGGGAATCTAGAGTTTTTATATTTTCTTTATTTACCATTCACGAGTACGATTTATGGTATTGTTCACAGTTACTGTTCATGGGGTACTGTTCACACATTACTGCTCATGGGTGCTATTTCTGCGCTACTATTCACAGGCATATTTTTGAAATTTTATTACTTAGCGGTAGTTTAGAGTCTTAAATGTTTAATTGGATTTCAAGTTAATTTTAGGGTTTCATATTCTTATAAAAGGTTGGATGTCATATTTTGGGAGATATATATTATTAGAATAAATTTTATTTTATGAAAGAAAGTTTTTCTTCTCTTGGCATGATTTACATCCATATTTTTTCTTTAATATTACTAATTTTACTAGTTTAAGGTTCATGAAAAGGGTGGATTTAATTTCTCACTTTTCCTTCTTGCATCAACGACAAGGGAAGAAGGGAGCAAAGAATGAGTATATGCATTGCAAGATTTAATTTAGGGTCGGGGGAGACACACTGGTTCTTAGGCAGCATAGTTTTGCGAACTACCGAAGTCCTTTTCCATTCCCCAAAATAAAACTTAAATTTTATTGCTTATTGTAGTATTGCCCTATCCTTCTGTGCAGAATCTCGCTTTGAAAAAGGTGTTAGGGTTAGAACAAACGAATGAGAAGCGAAGAGGCAAAAAATGGAAAGATGGTGAGAGATAGAATAGACAACAAAAAAAAGTGAGATGGATGGAGGGTTAGATAGTAACCTACTTTTGGTGTCTCTGGGTTTTGAGAGAGAGAGAGAATGCTTATGGAGGGATAAACTTATAAAAGTTAAAGTGGAAATTAGAGAAAAAAAAAAAACTTACCAAGGAAACACAAGTAGCGAGGTAGTTGAGAGAGAGAGAGAGGATG